CAAACATCCTATGAGCAACATCTGGGATCTAGCCAAGCTGCAGTGCAGACTGCGAGAAGCCAGGGTGATGTATACTTGCTGGTCTTCCTGCCCAGTCCTCAGGTCCTGCTCACCCACAATGCCTGCAGCAGAAATCAACCACCCGACATTGCAGTCACAAGTGGGAGATAACGCTGGACTCACTGCTGCATCAACAGAGTAGTTTTTGTGGATTAATTGGCATAGAGCAGGCAGGTGCAAAGGGGGAAAAAAATCAGCCATCGTTTAAAAGAATTCTAACAATTATTTTAAATGAGTGGACTAGAAACGTGATGATTCTGTTACTTAAAACATCATCCACAGCCTGGTCCCATTCAAAAAATTTAATTCTGTTTTAACTGATTCAGGATGTATCCTGAGCTCTGGAATCTTTAAGGGTCCCCAAGGCAATCCTAATCTTCAGCTAAGATGAGGAACTACCTGCCACAAGGAACCTTCAGTTGCAACTTTAGACCTGGCTATTCCAAGGGGGACAAGGAGCCAGGGGAGATCCAGGTAGTTTTGAAGTCTCCTGGTGAACAGAGTTTTCTGGAAAGAGAGCGGGAGAGAGACAGACATGAGGAATGCTGGGAAAATAAGGCAACAAGGCAGAGAAGGTGGTAAGCAATGATCAGGTTGCTGCAGCTGAAGAAGAATCCTCACGCAGGTGGGACATCGTCCCGAGGTGGGACGAGGCCACTGGAAGAGGGCTGTTCCGGAGGGGCTGGGCAACAGTTGAAATGCCGTGACAAGGGCCCCTCCCCGTTCTCATCATTGCTGCTGTCTCCACCATCCAAGCAAACAATTTGCCTAACACTCTCATTTCACAGTTTCTGCTCACACCCTTTATTTTACTTTTCCTGCTGGGTTAGAAATACAAGATACAAAGGTTAACACTTCACATTTATGTCAACTCTTACCTCTAACCCGTAGGTATTCACTGCTTTCCCAGGGGGAAGACAAAAACCACCTGAGTTTCCCGCTAACCCAGGGATGCTATCGAATTTAGAATGAGAAGGATCTAAGACTTGACTTTGAGACTGCTAGATGGTACCCACCTAGCTTAGCTCACATTAACAGGAAACTCAGGAAGGGCTGGGCCCAGGACGTGGCTCTCAGAAGTGAGGTGAGGCGTGGGATAACTGGCCTTTTCAAAGTGTTAATAAAGTGTCAGACAAAGCCAAGCATGAGAAGCTTCAGGACGTATTTCCCAGTCTTCCAAGGCTGCTGCAGGTCTTGGTGGGTCAGGCAGCAGAGAGCCGTCCACAGTGAGTAAGGCTTACAGAACATCACCCCAGCCGTTCATTTAGCAGTATGTTTTAAAATGGAGGGAAGCAGCTGTGCACAGTGCAGATCAGCCCTGTCTTTGCAGAGCTTCCAGACTGTTGAGAAAAACAGTGCAATGGGTGACAAGGGTAGGAAAGCAAGTGGCCTAACTTAACTGAATGGTGCCTGGGTGCAGGATCTTAAACAAATCTTGTCTAGAAAAATGATCTTAACAGCTGAGGCCCACCATTTAAAACTCATTCAGCCAAGCCTGGGCTGAAAACCCAGAGGTGTTTCCCACGGTAAATATTGCAGGGCAAAAGATCCAGAAACTGCACAACTCGAGGCATTTGAGAAACAGAAAGGAGGAGTAGGCTCTTGGCCTGCTAGACCTGACATCAGTTAGAGTACAGTCTGTGTTGGAGTGCATGAGTTTGAGTCCCAGATCTGCCCCCAATTCCAGCTTCCCACTAATACACTCACTAAGAGACAGCACATGTTGGTTCCAGTGGTTCTGTCCCTGCCTCCCACCTGGAAGACTGGGATTGAGTTTCTATCTCCTGGCTTCTGCCTGGCCTTGTCACAGCCATCTCGGGCATTTGGGGGAGTAAGATGGGAGTGTCCCACCCAGTCTTTCTCTCCCGGCCTCTCATATAAATTAAAAACGTAATAAAAAAGCAACAGAAGGGAACTCTGTGTGGGTGTACTCCAGATCTGGGTGTTAAGGCACGAGGGTGTTTTTCTGACGCTGTGGAGTTCTGCTGGCATGAGCAGACAGATCGCAGAAGGCTTGTTGACTTGCTCGCTTGCAGCAAAATGGACTGAAGAGGGCAAGGATGGAGGGAAATGGCAGGAACTCGGAGGAGATGAAGAAGCTAGAGTGGGATGAAATGGATATGTCAGGCTATATTTAAAAGGAAGGATAGACATGGTTGCATCGGGCAGAGAGTGAGTGGAGCTGATGTCAGTGTAGATAGAAGACAGATCGGAGTTTCTGCCAGCCAGCCTCTGTGTTTACTGCCTTCTCCATGTGCCTGTGTGCGCGTCTGTCTCTTCCTGAATGCAGACAGGCCCTGGGGAAGGGAAGTGGGCCGATAGTGTGCCTGTCTGCTCCCTTCTCTTGGCTCAGCACCCTTCAGTGAATTATTGTCATCTTGCCTCATGACGTTTTCCACTGTCAATGAACGCACTTGTTGGGCACGGTCTCTGGGTGAAAATCCGCAAGAGCTTATCTGGCCTCTGGAATGTTCCTCTACGAGCCTTACGCTGAAGGAAGCAAAACCAAACGAGCAGAGCTGTTGTAGGCATGGAGGGGGTGGTGCCTCATTGGTAGACCATCTTCTGTAAGTGTGTTTGGGGATTAGGAAGCCCTAATTTCAAGGATATAGCCCAACAAAGAGGACCAGTTTAAGCAACCTGTTTGACCTGTGATCAGATCGCCTTGGGTGACCCCAAGCTGTAACTCTGCCCCCGCCCCAGGGATACTTATTTCCTGCCCCTTGTAACTTCTCTCTGCAGACACACAGACCCGAGCACTTACTATCCCAAAGTGCACCCATGGGGGGCATAGTGTAAGAAATTCCCATAGTGGCAGGAATTGACCATTACGATTTTTGTTATCATCTCATTACAAATCTGAGAAAAGCATCCAGACTGGCTTGAGGGAGCAGAATGACAGGACCAGGGATCAAGTGCTGGCCCTAGACTTGGAAAACCTTTAGATTGACACCTCCTAAAACTGCTGTTTGATTACAAAAACAGAAAACTAAGCAACTCCCACATAACATAAATGCATCAACTTGATCAATGGCATTAAGCACCTTTGTACTGTCCTACCATCATTGCCACCGTCACTCTCCAGAAACTTCTCATCTTGACCGAAGCACAAGACCCAGGAAACACTCCCATTCCTTCTCCCCCAGATCATTTTTCTTTCTGAATTTAATACTCTAGCTGCTCATGTTAGTGAGATCTTAGAGTATGTGTCTTTCTGTAAGACTTATTTTACTCAGTAAAATGTCTTCTAGGTTCATCTGTGCTGTGGCATAGCTCCACCAATACTGGTTGTCTTCTTTTGAGGGGGAACTTTTTTTTTTTTGGCTTGAATGTTAACAGTAACCACCTGATGGGTAAGGGATACTATCTCATAGGAATTTTGTTTTGCATTTACTCAGTTGTTAGTAAAGTTAAGCATCCTGTTATAGGCTCATTGGCCATTTGTGCAACTTCTCTGTAGAATGTTGAAGTTCCCTGTAACTGGTTGGTTATGATTTCATCGAATTATAGACATTCTTTATACACGCTGGAGAGTCATCCCTCATAGACACATGATTTGCAAACACCGTGTCTCATTGCACGGGTTGCACTTCCACATGTTTGGCTTTTCAGAGATGAGTCATTTAATTTTATATCCTAGGGATCTTCCTCACCTCACCCTTCGCCTAGCCTTTAACCTGAACACAGATCTCTTCTACAGGACTTTGAAAAGACTGAAATCACTTCAAATGATTGAGATAACACTTGAGTTCGCTGAAAATGTATTTAAGCACAGAATTAAATTCTTCCATCCGAAATCATTTGGGGTATCCAAACGTGAAGTTTGTTTCTGAGTCACAACACGGCTTTTGTTGTCATGGGAGAGTCACAGCCTCCCGGGAAGCCTCCTGGGAACATTGCCATGGCGTTACCTCTCCGTGGGAATGGAAGTGTTTGAGCTCCTGTCAACTGGTTACCAGGTCCCACAGAGCTGATGCAGAACATTACACTGGGTGTTAAGGTGTGTTAACTCCCATAATCTCCACAACAGCTTTGGCTGATGTGTCCTGGTGCGTCTCCACCTTCCACGGTCGGAAAGGGGAATGGAAAGGTTAAAAAGATTTCTGAATAGAATAGCTAACAGGTGGCAGAGCTAGACTCGGAAGCATAGAAACCTTGTTCCAAATTCCATACTCACAACCAAATAGGAACTGTGGCTGATGTTTCATCTTGCCCATATTTCATTTTTAAGCTATTTTGGATGTTGGCATCTTTGGCGTGATCGGTTTCCAACAAGCTGCCTCCTTGGGCTCCACTTAAACCTCATAAACCCTCTCCTAGCATTTTTTTTCCCCTTCACATGGTTCTAGTGAAATGGCTTCTACTCTTTATGAACAATATCAGAAGCTCTCTGTAAATTCACCCATTCCTGCTTAACACCCTATCCCTGACTCTATGCAGAGCTGAAATTAGAAGTAACAAACTCCACACATGTTATAGTAGAGCAATAAGGATCCGTGTCTGCCCCTCCTAACCTGTTGACTTGCAGAACTATGCACAACTGCACCAAACTTTTAGACAAACTCATGAGGAAACCCGCTTGTCTGGCTGAGGGCCTGAAAACGGATGCATTTGAGCAGGTTCTATGTCTCCGGGACTGGAATTGTTCGCATTCTCTCTCTCTCTCCTTGGTTAATGATGTGCCCTATCTTCTCGTGTGGCCTTCCACAAGCACTGAATTTGAATGGATTAGCTACAGTAGCCCAGCCCAACCCACGAAACAGGATGCCTTATTAAAACAAATCCATCTGTACAGACATGATGACAGCTGTCGGTCTGTAGGCCACTTCAGATATTGACAAATGCCACTCATGCCATTTTTAGCATCTGCTGGGAAGAAAAACGTCTAATTATACTCTTGTTATCCTAATCTCTGTGGCTTGTTTTTTTTTTTTTTTCAGGGTCCTGTGGCTCTACTTTGAAACGGGCACGTGGGTGTATCCTGTGTTTGCCCAGCTCAGCCCCTTTGGCCTGGCAGTCTTCTTCTCTCTCAGCTATGTTTTGCTTGCAGCCGTCTACCTGCTTGGAGAAAAGCTCAACCAGTGGAAATGGGGTCAGTATATTTTTCTCACTCACAGATCCCTCTCTCCCCCTCTCTATTCACTCCTTGTACAAACAAAAGGAAAAACTAGTCCGGAATGGAAGCCGATGGAACCTGATGCGTTTCCCCCAAAGGACTGAAGTTCTGACCAAGGCAGGCAAAGGAAATCCCGCACCCCAGTGGCGGGACAGACTTCCACAGGACCCTCCCATCCCTCCCCTTCCTCCCTGAAACAACACCTCTTTCCTCTTAGAGCTAAAGACAGTCTTGTTTCAAAAGTTCAGAGGTCACAGAAGACGGAACTTGGAAAGGAGAGAGCATGGTTTTTCCCAGTTCACCTGAGCATTCAGCGCTTCCTCCAGGAAGGAGGTAGTACAGAGGCCTCGTGGCTCTTGTCCAACCCCAAGACGCATTGATGAAGGAGTTCCCGTTCAGTGATACAGGCTGAGTATCCCTGATCCGGAAATCTGAATCCCAGAATTGTGTTTTAACGCTGACCTGATACTTAAAATTTTTGAAACTTTAACTCTTTCGGATTTCTGTATTAGGGAGGCACAACTGGCAAAGTCTACGCAAACATTACAAGTTAAAAACAGCAACAACAATAACAACAACAAAACCCTCCAATAGCTGCAACACTTCTGATCCCAAGCAGTTCAGATAAGGGACAGTCAACTGTATAAGATAAAATCACATTGAAGATTCCAGTGTTGTGGATGCTTGGGATTGTGGGTAATCAGTAAGCTAGGCTTTCAAATCGTAGGTGAATAGCACCTTGGTGCTTCTTCTTTAAAAAAGCAAAAACCAAAAAAAAAAAAAAAGATGCTTTTAGGATAGAAGAGTTTATTCACTACTCTCACCCCCAGGTTGCAGAATACTCATGGCTTTTTTTTTCCCCCTACCCAAAGAGAAGGGCAGGAGTTGCACCCTGCTTTTGCAGGAAAGCAAGGCGAAGAACCACATCGCTCACCCACGTGCCGCTCTAGCACAGTGGTGATGGCGGGAGTAGCATCTCCTCCCACTTTAGGAACTGATGCAGAACACAAGCCCGTGCGCCTGGAGTGCACAGTGCTCAGGGCTCAACCCCACCTTACTTGTTTCTGCAAGAAGGCCGAGACCCTGGAGAAGCAGGCAGGCAGCTTGAATCTGCCATGCGTTTTCTAGTCCTGGAGAATTGGCCTGGCTAAGAAGGTCTCAAGGAAATATCTTCCTTGAAAGCAAACTCTTAAAAAACTGAATAATAGAAATCGTTCCCCTAATCAGGATTCCAGATCACCCGACATTATCTGGCAAAAAGAAGTGGTGTTGACATTTCAGATAAATTGGTTCTAGCTCATTTTTGTCCCTTAAAATTTTAGGTAAAAATTTCTGATGCTTCCCCAAATCTATATTTAAAATAAAATGAAACTAAATCATTTGAAATGTGTAAGAAGTGCAGGAAAAAAAAAAAAAACTAGTTTACTAGAGCTTAGTAAAAAAAATTTTTTTAATTAGTTTATTGACTTCCATGATGATTAATTTTTAAATTGTTACCCTGAAATGAATTCTAAAGACATTGAATCAAAAATAAGCTTCTCACTGATTATTACTGAAGTCACTGCTTCCAACACAAAACCCTTCTTAATAAGCATCACTGTTTAGGCAGTATGTCCGATATCTCCCTACAATTAAGTCCCATTGAGCAAATACACTGGCACCAACGTATGGATCTTTATTTATGCTGCACATGAATGTCACGTGAGGACCAGACCCTGCTACAACTCTGGGTCTCTTTCTCCCTCTCATCAGAACAGATCATAAACATCTTACATCCTGAACAGATCCTGATCAACCCAAAATGACCAAAGCAGAAAGTGAAAATGGAGCTCACAAAATTACAATTACCACGAACACATCGGAGGACTGAGAATGAGCCAGGGCAACCCACAGAGTGTGTTTCTCTAAGTTCTGTTTTGCTCACAGCACTCTAAGTCTTCCCCAGTTTACAGAAAAAAGTCCATATTTCGGAAGGAACGCAGGATCTCCAGGATCCGGGCCTGGGCCCAGCGTCTGCGTTCCTCCTCCGGATTGAGTGCCCCAGTAGCATCAGTTGCTTCTTTTCCTCATGTTCGTTCCTCATACCCCCAGGCTTGGCCTGATTCACACCTACTCCTTCAGTTGAACACACCTCTCCCAGGAAGCCTGTGTTTATCTGCCCAGGGTTGGCTCTGGTGCCCTCCAGGGTGCTCCATCGTGCTTCCTGCTGGCACCTCTTCACCAAGACCAACGTGTTGCCCTTCCTGCATTTTCACTACTGCTTCAGGAATTTGTGCAGCCCACCCGGGTTTCTTAAGGGTTAGGGGTATGTCTTTGGATACCCCATCTTTGCCAGCTTAACCACTGCACTAACGAGTGCAGGTGAGGGGTGCATGCTCAGGACACAGCACCCAGGGAGACTAGTGGTTGCAGGTGACAGTATTGAGCCTTCAGAGGAGGAGGCGGCTGGAGTGTCTTGAAGAAGAAATGCATGTCAAGGGCAGCAATGTAAAACAGGGGGAAGAACATTGGAATGGGAATTAAGCACACCAAGTCATGTCCCTCGCCCGGCCACAGGCAATTCCTCAGGGGCAGGATAGCCTCTCACATGGCCCAGTTTGCCCAGAGTGTCCTGGCTTGCTGTGTCAGAGTTCGTGGGGCTTAGTGGTGTTAGTGTCCCTTGCTGTGAGTTCCTCTCCAGATCAGCTATTCAGAATTTGTGGAATGTAGGCTGGAATTTTCTGGATTCCCTGTCTCTGGAATTCTGAGACAGAATGTAGCCCAACTGAGAATCACCCTCCAGGCCATCAGGCACATCTCCGGTCAAGATCCACTGGATGCGCCAGAAATCCTTCGGTTGTTGGCCTTGGCTTTGCAACAAAAGATGAAAGGGGAGCTTCGGAAGTACCGATTCCCATGCCCGCTAAATCAAGTCCACTCATGTCCCAAAGATGGGGACTTTCTGTAAAGCTTCCTGATAAAATGTGTTGTCTGGTCAGGAGCCACTGTTACAGGTCAAGGCCTCTCAAATCCACAGTCTTGTTAAAACGAAGATCTTGGGGAAGCTGGGGGTCATGTCGAGATGCATAGTCCCATTCAGTAGACCTAAGGTCCACAGCTGTGGATTCTGCCCTCCCTAGAGGTTCTGAGGCTTCTGGTCTACCGGATGAGGCTCCGTTTACCCCACGTTCCTGATTTCCTCTCAGTGGAGATCATTGTAAGCGCCTGTGTGGTGGGAGATTCTCTCATGTGGGCTGCTGTACTGCTGGTGATTATGACCACAGAGGCTCTGTCTCACCTTGCTTTTCTCTCCACTCGTGTTCCTTGTCTGTGGATATGAATGAAGAGGACAGGGAAAAGGTTGGTAAAAATAAACCTTACCAGGAACCCAGTGGAAAGTCAGCTCATGTATGATGAGGCTCTCCCAGGGAGGAAGAAGCAGAGAAGTGGCCCTGCACCCCAGGGTCAGGCACCCACTGTGGTCAGGCCTCCCAACAAGGTTCTTCTGGAAGACACTGAGGCTCCAAAAACCCCTCAAGAGTTTCCCCAGGATGCCCTTTTCTGATGGCCCTGCGCATTCCTGGTTCTGTTTATGCTTCCCGGGCAGAGGGCCAGACCAGCTCCGAGCCCTCACTGGGAGCAGCCTTTGTAGTTGTTGGATGGAGTGAGGTAGAACTCTGATTTTGAACAGTGCTGGAGGCAGACGGGGGAAGCTGTCACTGGTGGGTAGTTGTGAGCTCGGCTGCTGTGTCCCAGCATCTCTGTATGCTCCAGGCAGATGCCACTCCACCCTAATCGGGGAAAGCAGTGTCACGACATGGCCTCACAGGGCCCCTCCTCTGCCCTGTAACTATTTAATTTTCTTTTTCTCTTGATAATAGGGTACAAGGATGCTGAGCCCAGGACACAAGTCCCTCAGGAAGAGAAAACCAGCTTACAAGAGACAGCAGATTCAGAGAGGGACTAAGCATCTGCCGGCTGGATGGGCAGCTGCCCAGCCAGCTGTTACCATGGCCTGAGGGACATGTGCCAGAGGTCAAGGTCCAAGACCATAGGTCCTTTTCCTCCTGCTCTGAACGTGTGAGCTAAGATCTCCGGGCTGGCCAAGGGACCTGGTGATAGCACTTTTGTACAGACTATCAATTTTAAACTCAATTTTTAAAGCTAATTTAACATAATTTTGCACTGGCAGGATTTATTTACTGTTATTTCCTTAATATTATTTCCCACGAGCCTTGTTTACATTCATTTTCTCACATTTCTTATTTACATATAATAATTACATGGACTTATTGGGGTAGAGGTTGCTAATTCAATACCTGTGTAATACAAGCAATGAGCAGATGAGCAAAAGTAGCTTATCACTCTCCTTAAACCTGTATCATTTCTTTCTCTAGGGAGGCTCCAATGCTCCAACTCCTGGTTCTTTATATAACAGAATAAACAGTCGTAAGCTATAGCCACCCCAGAGTGCTATAGAATGCTGGACCCTTCTTTCCTATCTCCCTAGATTATTGTTGCCTGGTACCCAGGGCCCTTCTGTAATCCCTCCTGCTCCATTTTTCCTCCCTGTAGTGACCACTTCTCCACTCTGTACTTCATAACCCAGAATTGTGAAAAGGAGACGTTTATTATGGAAACTAATGAACGACCCTCTGGTCTACGTCCTTGGTTTCAATCTTGAAGAAAATCGTGACCAAGTCCATCTCTCTTATATCCTTGATCCTTTTACAACAACAGGAATTTTCTTTTCATGATCTTTTGATGACTTTAAAATTTACGCTTGTGTGAGTGAAGCTGAATAGGCCTTTCTTTGGTCATCGTGTACAGCCCTTGCCTGTTTTCTTGCTGGGAAACTGTCTTTTTATTTGGTAAGCGCTTTAGTGGAACCCACAAGCCTCTGGTTATACTACAAAGTAAAAGTGTATTAGCTCAGAGAAGCAGTAAAAATGACTTTTTAAAAGATTTTACTTTTATTTGAAAAAGCAGAGATAGAGAGAAAAGGAGAGACAGACGATGAGAAAGCTTGTCTGTCCACTGGTTCACTTCCAAATGGCTGCTGTGGTCAGAGCTGAGCTGATCTGAAGCCAGGAGCCTGGGACTTCTTCTGCCTCATCCATGCGGGTGCAGGAACTCAAGGATTTGGGTCATCCTCTACTGCTTTCTCAGGCCATTAACAGGGAGCTGGATTGGGAAGTAGAGCAGCTGGAACACGGATGGGTGCCCACATGGAATGCCAGCGCCATAGACAGACGTTCAGCTCATTACTCTATGGCTCCAGCCCCTAAAATATTTATTAAAATATATATATTTTTAAATTGTCATGGGGTTGCTATAGGGAGACAGAGGCAGATGGTGCAAGTTCTTGTGTCCCAGCACCCACTGGTAGGCTTAGAAAGATTCCCAGGCCCCTGGCTTCGATCTGACTCAGCCTTGGCTTTGGAAGCTATCTGGGGAGTAAACCAGCAAATGGTTTACTCTGTGTCTCCTCCCTCTCAATGGCTCAGCTTTCCAAATAGAAGACTCTCTTTTAAGGGGGAGGGGAATTTTATCATGAGATGACTCAGACGCTACTCTACAGCATGACCCCAGTGGGCCAACGTTTAATCAAAAGCAAACATACAGCTCCCTTTGGCCTTTCTTACCGTCTCACTTTACCTCTCTGTGCTCAAAGCTAGTCTGCTCAGGATTTTTGTACTGCTTTCTACTCAGCCTCTTCCCCTCTGCTCGCCCCCTCAGTTTCAGCTCCCTGCTGGAATTACTGCTCAGCAGGGCTCAAACCTTTTTGCTGTGACCCCTGGCATCCCCCCCAATCACCTGTCTTTTTCCCCTTCTCCAGAGCAGCCCACTGAAAGTAGCTTAATACACATCAAGATTGTACTTCAAAGCCTAGGGGGAGCTTGTAGACACATAAGTATAAATCTTTGGGAATTTTGGTTTTTTCTTGAATACTTATTTGTATTATTTTTAGTTATTATTGCTATTGTGATAGTACACAATGATATATGAAATCCATAGTAAGGCAGGTTTAAACAGAGGTTTCTTTAAAAATGCCATCAGAAAACGGTTTGATTTACCACAAGTGAAGATTAACTATTTGGCATAAAATATCTGTAAGCTTTGGTACTGTCTGACAGGTGAAAGATGGACTGAGAGAAACACGAACAGCAGTTACTCCTGAGCTGCCAAGTAGGAGACTTCCAACAGACAAAACTCCCTTGAAGCAAGGAAAGAATGCGAAAGGGCCACAGCACATCTCAATTGGGGTTTGAAACCAAGGGCGTGGATTCCATTTGAGTAAGAGACATAAACATTACACTAGTTCCCTCATGCCCAATCACGCACTATGAGGATGGATGCTGACCACTGAGAGAAGCCTAGAAATGACTCCACTGCCTGGGGACTCCAGATGCACCCCTTCCCCTCCAGAAGGAGCAAAAAGCCAGCAGCCATGACCTCTAACATACTGAGGTCCTCCAAGTCTCCACGGGAAATAACGGCTGTCAGAGCTTCACTCAGGGACCTGCAAGGGCAAGGTGGCCTCTCCAGCTGGGCATGGCTACGAGGGAGCTTCCTAAGGCTCTGCTGGCTGCTTGGTTTTACATGCAGGAGTTTCTGATCCAGCGGAAGGAGCTGCGTGCTCCACCCCCCATTGAATTTCCCACCACTGCCCCTGCATTTCTGAAGTGGAGCAGGACGTTTCTGATCCTTGGCATTCGATTGCAGGAGTGAGATTGCAGGAGTGAGGTTAAAGTTACCTTCCGACTCAAGGGGCTGAGGTGGGGCTTGCTAGGCAGCATGTATCAAGGAAGTTTTTAAAACCTTTCTCAAATCCTCAAATAGATTGCACAGGGATCCCAGTTAAAGTTGATATTGCTAAGCTCCTGCGTGTGAAGGAATTAGCTAGTTGTATTAAAGGCTCAGAGTACACACCCTGCAGAAAAGAGACACTACTTTACTCGTGCTTGCAAAACTACCATAGGGAAGGCCTGGCTGGGGTAGACAGAGTCACCTCAAAGGGAAACAAGGCAAATTGAAATGAAAGCAAGGTGAAACTAACACAAGTAGGTAAACAGTCGGAATTAGGCAGAGTGTTGGCAAGGAGGAAGGCAAGGAGCCCAAGAAGGGAGCGTGTTGACTCTCCCAAGAAGAGATCTCCCAAGATCTCCCAAGAAGAGATACTACTGCGAGAGGTGGAGGCCAGGATGGTCATGTGAGCTGGGTGCCCAAAGAAGTGTCTGTCTTACCTCTGACTTTCATGCAAATGATCTCACTATGGTTAAGGGACCACAAGGTAAGCTCCAAGTGCACCTGTCACTCTGTGACAAGGGAAGGTCCAACAGAATGGAATCGATGCAAGCTATTTAGTTTTCCTCTCAATAAATGACTGGAGCTCACAGGGTTTGAAGGGTGAAGCACAGGATTAAGGGGCTTAACACAACTATTGCAATAATGCCTAGCTACCAGACTTTGGGAATAAAGGCAAAGACATTGAGAAAAATTCTCAAAATTGGATGGATGGGAGGGTTGGTGGCGTCGAGAAGCAGGTTTAGCTGCCGCCTGCAACATTAGCACCCCATATCGGTGTAACGGTTCAAGGCCTGGCTAATCCACTTACGACCCAGCTTCCTGTCAATGTGCCCGGGATTGCAGAGGAACATGGCCCAAGGGGTCCCTACCAACCCCTGTGGGAGACCAGGGAGGTTTTCATCTGATTTAGTCCTGTGTTATAGTCATTTGGGGAATGAACCAGTGAATAGAATTAATCTCTCTCTTCCTCCTTCCACCCCCCCTCATGTCTTCCAAGTAAATAAGTTCTTTTTTTTTCTTTTAATTGGAAAATTTAATGTATTTGCATTTAATGTAATTCCTGACATACTTAGATTTTTTTTAATTGTTAATAACATTGTATTATCTGATACAGTTTTATAGGTACTGGGATTCTCCCCACCCCTCCCATAACCCTCCTCCTCATGGTGGATTCCTCCACCTTGCTGCGTGACCACAGTTCAAATTCAGTTGAGATTCCTTCATTGCAAGCATATAGCAAGCATAGAGTCCAGCATCTTATTGTCCAGATAAGTTCAACGGCTTCTTGGGGAGACCTTCTCTGGTCTGAAGGTAGAGCCAACAGAGTAAAATCCCGATCAGTTTTAATTGATCGGGATTTTAATAGATAAGTATGTTTTAAAAGAATAGGCCTGATAGTATTTGATAGGAATGTAAATATATATATATATGTATAAAACATATATATATGTATTACAGGAAGAATCATGTACCGATGAAATTTTACATCTTATATACATTATCTATGAAGGTATCAACTTACTGTAGAAATGGAAATTATCTTAGATAACACTATACTTTCAGCAGAATGAAACCTTACTGAACTTACTACAAACTATTCCATGTGCCAGTGGGCTGATGACTTACTGAGAGGAAGTGGACTGACCCTTAGTAGGTGAGCATCCATGACGCTGTGTCCTCCCTAGCTTGACGTGATCTCTGTCTCCATCTGTGACGTTTCAGGGTTTGACCACGGACTGTTCACATCTTGCAACCCCATGGCTGCGTGGGGGCAAGCAGCGCCCCTGGTCCATTGGCTGCTATGAGCTCAGTGGCCAGAGGGAAGCGGAGCTGCTCCCGTCCAGGCAGTTAAGGCAGCTCTTTTGCCAGACTCCTTAAGTGCGTCTTCCCACTGCCCTGAGTCAGGATGACTCTCCACCCACACAAAAACACCCACGAGGGGACTCTGAGGTTTCTTTGTATTTGTTCCTCCAGGTGACAGGATGCCGCCACCGAAGAAGAGGAAGTGATCACACACCATTTTCCAAGAATCAAAGATGATGAAAACACAAGACTTTTTTTTTTTTTCTTTTAACTTTCAGGTTGGGGGAAGTGGTGGAGCAACATAGGAAGATAGAAAGTGCAGGGAGTGACACTCAAATGTAATAAGAGCAATATGAAAGTAGCTTCATTGGAGCAGACTTGACTCTGGAAAGCTGACTGCACGTGCCAAAAGCAACTCCTGTGGCCTGGGAATGTTCTGCCTCAGTCTGACCTGCACGTGGGATGGATGACCTCTGGTCAAAGTCACACAAATGTAAGGTCGCAGTTTGTCGGCAGAGAGGCCAAGCTTCTCTTCTCGGAGGAAGCTAATGGCAACCTAGGTGAGAGATTACCTGCGGGAGGCCAAGTTAGATGGCCACGATCTACCAGATCTAATCCTAGCCCTGGGCCATTTCTAAATCATCCCAAGCTTCCTACATAAAATAAACGTTTTGGAATGCTAGGCACTTTGGTGAACTTCTCATCCACTGTTTTATTCCTCCCTCTAGAAATGTTGGGAGATAAAGTCGACCAATTTTTTTTTTTTTTGTCCACCTGGTACAATAGCACATGAATTGGACCAATGAGAAAATCAATTATCAAAAATAATGGGAAATCTTACCTTCTAGGGAGCAAAGATTCATACACTTTGAACATAGTAACCTCACCCAAATCTCTTTCATTGGAATGTTCATTAATTCATCAAATGAATGCTGTACCTTTAACTGGGAAAGACTCTAGATGGGGAGTGATCAAAGGCTGCTGCGACTTTATGTGGTTAAGCAAAGCTAATTATTAGGTGATTGCTGAGGAGTCACGAACCTTACTTTGATTTTCTCTATAGAGTTATTTGGAGTGAAAGAGGCCTTTTTAAAAAATCATCCATAGCAAATATCTATTGTGAGTAAATGTATTTTTAAGATTCACTTGTTTGAAAGTCAGGGTTACGGAGAGAAAGAGAGATCTTCTATCTGCTGGTTTATTCCCCAGATGGCCACACCCACCAGGGTTGGGTCAGGCTGAGGCCAGGAACCAGGAGCTTCTTCCAGATCTCCCACGTGGGCGACAGAGGTCCAAGCGCTTGGGCCATCTCCCACTGTTTTCCCAGGGTAATTAGCAGGGAGCTGAATCAGAAGTGGAACACAAGAGAGGCATGAACTGGTACCCATGTGGGATGTCGGTGAGGCAAGCGGTCGCCCTACTTCCTACACCACACTGCAGGACCAGGTATATGAGTCCACTGGTGGGTCACCAAGAGCCTGTATGATGGGCTTCCCAAAGGAGCATTATTTGGAAGAAATTTGGTTAAAGGAAAAAAAAAAAAAGAAGAACCCCGAGAAAAATCTAAAAGGCCAATGCAAGAAAGTAGGCTGTCCCAATAGAATGAACTGCCCAAGAATAGGCTGGACTAAGCATTCAAAAAACTTCTGACTCACTGCACTTGTTCTATTGTTACGTAAATGTGAGCCCAAGTCTCCCATTGGGTTGTGCTGGCACACCTCTTTCCCACACCTGCTGCAGCCTCTGGCCTGTTGGAGCACCCAGTCTCCGCAGGTTCCCAGGAGCGCTTGTCTCAGTGGAAATTCCCCAAATGTGAAGCCTGCAGAGGACCACCCAAATTTTCCACACCCCTAAAAGATGGTTCAGTTGCACACTTCTTGTGGTCATAGCAAGCTCTTGGCCAAGATGGGCCTGTTGTTTTCTATTTGTAGCTACACTATCTTCAGGACCAAATTAAGCCTTGCTTGTGGCCTGCCTGGCCACTGTGCCATAGCTAGTCCAATACCAGAAGTCCTCAGAACCTCCCATTAACATGAACATAAACACACAGTGCTCTCTGCAGCTTAAGAAAGGACAAGCAACAGAACGTCTAAAAGGGGCCCAGAAGGTAGGGCTGTGGCAGATCCTGAGGAGTTTGAAAATGGCACCAACAGAACCCAAATGATGATTCCAGCAATACTATGTATTTGTACCATGTTGTGTAATTTACAACACTCCTCTCAGTCTTCACTCATTTCAGCCTCCCAAAAAATTTTGTAAGTAGACCATGGTCTATGTCCTCCCTTTACAGACGGATTTCTGATGGTATGGTGCTGATATATGTTTACAACCAATGGTTTTCATGTGTTGCCTCCCTCCCTGGTCTTTTCCAAGCTTCTACCATGTCATTGAACGCAGAGTTGAACAGATGTACACTACCTCTTGGTTCTTGAGATTCTGTATGAACTGGTGCCAGCTCAAGTTCAGGTTCAGAGCATTGAAATGGCCAATCCAAAATAAATCACACGGATAGTTGATTCCTAAGCTACCTGCCTTCCTCTTGATTACAAAGCAAAGCAGTCATTATAGATCATCAAAACCACAAGGAAAAAAAAAATCAAAACCCAAGAATGCAGCCATTTCAGCAAAGCTTGGAAAAAGAAGGTGTTCTAGGGACCCCAGGAGGGTGGCGACTTCTTCCTCCATGCTTGGGGGGGCTCTCACCTGGCCCCATGCTTGAGCTCCCATGTCACTGTGACACATGTGAAAACAGTCGCATGTGCATAGAAGACCCTATGTTTCCTAAACAAGACATTTGCTCCATGCTCCTCCTAAAAGGGTCCTACATTTCTCAAGCTATTTTCAGCTACTCTGCACCTACTCCCTTACAACACTTGTCATAACAGGAAGCCTGTTACGTAGACTTTAATCCCCTACACGTTGTACCTGCCTGTGGGGAGCACAAAAAGGGGCTGAGCGAGCTGAGCAGGGGGAGGCCTGATCCTCCCTGAAGCCACTGGGCCAAGCTTTGAGCTCCTCTCACCGCCCCACCCACACCAAAACCCGGATCCAGAAACCAAACTCCATATCCAGACAGTCTTGTTTTTTGTCTCCCATGCAGTTAGTGGTGTTTTTTTTTTTTTTTTTTAATAAAGCATTTGAGTAGGCAGCAAAGGCAGTTAGAACTGTTTATTTATAGCTATGGATTTTCAATGCTGTATAAATTAGAAATCGCTGCTGAATGAGGCCTGCGCCCACTCACACACGCAGGGCTGCTGTCTGAGAGTCCTTTCATGCAGTCTGACTGTACACAGCTGAAAATGGGAGAAAATGACACGCCCCGAGTCAAATGACGGAGCCACAGCTAAACGGCGAAGCAGAAAACCAGCAATTATTTTTCCTGTGCACAATATGGGGAGTGAGACAGGTGCAATTATCCAATATTATTTAACAGCACCAGTTTGTGGTGTAGGGAGAAAATAAAGGTTTCTATGTCTTGGAGAGGAAGGGGGGAGGAAAAATGAGAAAGAAACTGCCTTGTGGTTTGTGTTGCTCAGGATTAAACCATGTTATGTAAATGGAAACCGACCAGGATTCCAAAAAAAGGAAGGGAAAAACCACCTGACTGGCTCACCTCTCCCTGTCCCCAGGCCTGCCAGCCACCTTAGCAACATCACCAGGGACATCTGCACGGCCCCAGCCTCCCAGAGCAGTGGCTTGAACATTGTCCTCCAGGGGTAAACCTCTAGGTAAGTGTAGGGCAGCTGGGTTGGCCAAGTCCCTGTCCCCTTGGAGAGACACCGCCTGCAGACCCTACCATTGGCTGGCTCTCCTTCATCCGCAGTCAGCAGAGCTAGGAGAGGAGAAGGAGGAACAGTCATTCCCCTGAGCATTTCCAGTACAGGATTCCCACCCTCTCCCAAGCTTTGCTAGCATCTACCTGGAAGGAGCCTTCCCCAGCCAGCTCCCGTGGAGTAGCTTCAGGACCACTCTGCAGTCTGAAGCGCCCTCTCTGACCCCTGGGGTATCAGCCCCCTGCCGCGTCTGACTCACCTACAGCATCTATCAGATCTATGCAGTGTTGGCTGTCTACACCAGCTCCTCCACACACACTATGGAGTGCGCTCTGATTATGAAGGACTATACTATTGTAAAGATATGACAGAAATTGGCGGAGGGACAGAGGGGAGGGTAGGTGGGTTGGGATTTGAGAAGAGAAAAAAGGAAATCCCAGAGCCTATGGAACAGTATCATAAAATAATAAACTGTTACATATATATATACATAATAAAAATATCAACTTCAGACCCAAGACAGGTGTGCATTTAGATTCCGACTCCACAGCTTGCTCTCTGTTGAACGTGGGACAAACAGCTCTGGGCTCCTTCCTTCTTCATAAAGGCAGACAAGCAGTGTTTCAAGCGGCAGATACAAGTGCCTGATACCCCAGCTCCCCCTTCTATCCTGATGGCTGGCAACCTCCCATCCCGATGGCTGGCAACCTCCCGCCCTGACGGCTGGCAACCTCCTGAGACCAGAGACCATGTGGATTCATCCATATGCCTCACCAAGCCATCCCTGTGCCACGGAGGGCCCAGGAGAGCGTGCATGTCCCTTGGAGGGGGCGAAACAGGAGACGGCTGTGACACCCTGAGCCTCCAGCTGGATTGGCTGGCACCAGGGCATCGAAACTCCCTTTATGGCAGGGGGAAGAAGTTAGTCTTGGGTTATTACTACTCTCAGGGAGACAGCAGGCAGCAAAAAAAAAAAAAAAAAAAAAAAAAAAATCTCGGGTCCCTTTGACCGCAAAGGAGCCTGGGACACAGCTGAGCCTCCCCAGGTCCCTGAGTGCCATCTGCTCAGACCAGTGGCTGAGATCCTGATGTGTTGAGGTTCTCAGAAGCGCACAGTGAGGTTTTTTTTTTTTTTTTTTGAAGGCCAGAAGCTCACTTTATTCACCGTTACTGAGCACAACACGTGACACAGAAAACTTTTAACACCTATCTGACACCCAAATTTAAGCAGCTTAGTTCAGTGTCTTATGGTTGAGAGGAGTGATTCGAACGTCCCATCTTGGACCCTGTGCCATTTATCCACCAATCGGATGTAACCTGAGTCTTACTCCCCAATTTCCCAGCCCCTCCCCCAGTCCCCACCCACCTACCTGCGACTCAGATAATTCCAGTCACTGTCCCTGGGGCGCGCATGCACACACACACACACATCCCACACAGCCCTTCCCTCGCCTTCCCCTCTCTCCTCCCTTCCCTTCTTCCCTGGCTCTCCTGCATCCGCTCCATCCTGCCCCTGCCCTTGACCTGGCAAGCCTCCATTCTGCCACGATGGCAGGAGACCCGTCTCTTCCTGGTCTCCACCCATCCCCGCTCCCGTTCCTACCCCGCTGGAGTAAAAGGACCGCCTAATATCTCATCACGTGCTGTTCCCACTCACGGTGAACTAACCGTGAAAAAAGGACTTGGCTGTGGGAATTCGCTGCGCCTAACAACGGTAAGAACTGTTTAAGAACTTACTGCGCTTGAAACCTAACAATCATGACGTCAGAATTCAAATTCTAAGCCGTCAGACCCACACACCTCAGCAGTTCCCACTATACCAATGACTTCCACCCCGTGTCTCCACATTCAGAAATATATTTTACAAAATGATAGTGTGGAAACACATACGCACGTGGGAATCAAAAGTTCCATAAAATCATATTTAGTTTGTATGATTGATTCCTTTATTTTGTGCGATATTATTTCCTAGTCCACGGTTTAAAATGCCATGTATCATGACCATTAAATTGACCTCTTTATCTAATAATAACATCATTAAGAAGTAATGGATTTCTTAAGCCAACAATCGTAGGGTTCCACTCCATTCAACAAGCAGAATGGCTCCGCATTTCGCCCTGCTGTAGTACTGACTCATTCCTCCAGCAGGTTCTAATAAAGCGCTCAGCAGATATGTCCTTGGCCATGAGGAAGGGAGCCCGTGTGTGCCTTCGTCCTGTGGCATCCCAGAAAGGCAGAAGGAGGCTGGATTTTCCCAACTTGCTCTGCTAGCAGCTGATGCTGGAGATGTTGACAGGAAGACATGATGGCTTTCAC